AAATAAATAAATCCACGTCTTTGTTGCCAACTTACTTAAAGGACTTTTCTCGATAGTAATTTAAAGGATTTTAAAAATTCCTAGATATATTTTGTAGTAATATATTTTTGTAGTCATATATTTTATAACTCCTTATTAATTGAAATCATTTTATATAAGTTTCCAACAATTCTTCTAGCATTTATGTATGTAATGGTAGGGACCCAAAAAATGCATATCACTTTCTTATTATTTTAACTGAGTTATTTGTTTGTGCTTAATGAGATCTTAATCCTCCCCTAATACTTATTTTTGTTAGCTTTGAATTATGTGACTTTTCTAAATGGCTTCATTTATTCTTCCTCCAGTGTAATGAAAGACAAAGGCTGAGATGGAACACATTTTACATAGTTCTTTCACTATCTTCCCTGCTTCCTCACCCTGCACACCCTTACTCTTTCTCCCTGTTTCTCTCCTCCAGCCACAATGAACTTGGGAGTCAGTTCAGTGCATGGATAACATGTACACTTTATCTCTGGGCCTTGAACACTTAGGGTCCCTCATCACCTGCTTAAAACACCTGTATATCTTGAACTCTCAACTTGGATGTCATTTCTTCCCAGAAATCTCTCCTAACCTCCACTAGGTGGTGAAGCATTTCTTGTATGTTCTTCCATAGAATGCCATGTTTTCTTTTTCCATCAATAACATTTAGATGATACTCTCTTTGCCTGGCTACATTAGAGTAAGATCTGTGGAAGAAGGGGCATTTCTACCTTTTTCACCATTAAATAAATAATTGTTAAATGAATGAGTGGTAAATGGTAGGTATTCATCCTTTCCGATGGCTGAGTAATATTCCTCTGTATATATGTACCATATCTTCTTTATCCATTAAGGAGGGCACGTGATGTGATGAGCATTGGGTGTTATACGCAACTAATGAATCGTTGGATACTACATCAAAAACTAATGACGTACCCTATATTTTGGCTACTTGAATTTAAGTAAAAAAAAAATTTTTTAAATGAATGAGTGGTGATCTTTGCTAACATTAAAATAACTGCACTAGAAGGCAAACATTTAGGTTCTTAGTAGAATAATTAAATGTAACAATATACTATATTAACTGAAACAAACAAAACATCCATTCAATACTTTTTCTTCCCCTGTTATCTCTCCTCTCTCTCATTTTTCGGTCTGTATTAGATGTCATCAATCTTACAGAAGAAGTGCAGTGGGTCAAAGTCAATACAAACATGAATGGCTATTATATTGTACATTATGAGGATGATGATTGGGAAGCACTAATCAAACAGCTGAAAACAAATCCTTATGTCCTGAGTGACAAAGACCGAGCCAACCTCATCAACAACATCTTTGAACTTGCAGGGTACGTGTGCTTGGTTTGGGTTGGTTTGTTTGTTTTTAAACAAATGTTTTGCTGAAAAGAACACTTAAGAAAAACAGTTCAAAAGAACTAGCACATGTATTGCCTGTTAGGTGTTACTTGTTTTGGATGATTGGGAAGATGTAAGATATAATCCTTGCCTTCAAGGGTGTTATAATCCATATAGAAACATCCACTACAAACATAGTGAACAGTTAAATAACAAGATTTAAGTAATATCTTAAGACTTGTCCATACCAACAAGTAGGACACATGTTTGCTGAATAAATTAATGTAGGAGTTCAGGCTTTATTTCATGAGAGAATTCCTTTCAGATAACATTTAGTTTAGGCATGAGGCTTAGTGCCTACCCGCTGGTTTGAGTGATGTGTCTGAGAGTTGGGGCCTTCTTACTTCTGTACAGCTTGCCTGCTAACCACTCCGTGCATTACAGAGTCCCAAAACCATGTATGGCAGTGATGTGTATAGATATCCTCTGCATAGTAAGATTACCACCTTAGGCTGTTAATGGGTCTAGAGACACATGGAATATTCAAAAGTGTTCTTTCTGACTGTGCTTGACCTTCTTATTTTGGTTCATTTTTTATGAAGTGACCTTACATCATCTGAGCCATCATTGTTTTGATTTCTCCTAAATGGTTAATTTTTAAAATATACTCACCATAAATTCACAGTGGACTTTGCTGTAATAAGTTTGACAAATTCCCGTACAAATAATGAAATATTTTCTTTTTGATTCAAATCCTCTTTATGCCACTTGTCCTCACTTGGTAAATATAATAAATAAATAAATAAAATTAGTACTCTTCATCTTTTCCCACTTAAGACAGTGTAATACTTTTCATGAGTCAGTAGCAATTTACAGGTGACTTAGGGAATAAAACTTGAGCTCTTGTGTATCTTATGAAATGTATCTTTAACCTTGGGTCATACACATGAACTTAATCAAAGATAATAATATTTAGTCTAACTTTACAGAATTCCACTCTAAGCTTAAATTTTAGTTCTTCAAGACTCACCATCTATTCATAAAGTTTTTCTGCATGCCTATAGAGTTCCTCTCCCTCAGCATATTGACTTTTCTGTTCTATTACCCTTTAGCCTAGGCAAGGTATCTCTTCAGAGGGCCTTTGATTTGATTGATTACCTTGGAAATGAGACCTATACCGCACCCATCACTGAAACCCTGTTCCAGACCGGCCTCATCTATAACCTCCTTGAAAAGCTGGGATACATGGATCTGGCCTCAAGAGTGGTGGTAAGTCTCCCTTATTGCCAGCATGTCTTTGTTGCTTGCCTTTAATGTTGTCATTCACAGTTCTGTTCAGCAGAGTAATAGGCTGAAAAAGCAACCAGCCACGGTCCCTTTTCTTCGTTTTCCTAGTTGTGAAATCTTTACTTTGAATCATAATGACATTGCTTACCAGGAAGAGTTGATAAAAGGCTTAGCATAACATGGTCTTGTTTGAATATCAAATTAAAGACTTCTGACCCTGACGTCAAAATGAGGTCACATGAAAAAAAACCTTCTCTATTCAAATCCCGGCTCATTTATATAGTAAATGCTTGAAGTAGGTCCTTTTGCAATGTGGTGTTCCCCATTGGTTTCTAGGTGGTCATTGTGAAATGACAGTGATGTTTGTACTGAGAATATTCTGTTTTAGGAGTCCTTACTGTGACCTCTTACGGAGGGTGATGCTAGTGGATATATTTCTCTGCAGAGTACTAAAGGAATCTTGGCATTGGTGACTGCTTTACCTTTTTTAAAACCAGTTGCCTAATTAGTATTAAATTAGATTTAATACTAATCTTGCAGTATTAAACTGTTGACAGAGTAAAAGCTTGGGAGGAAGAGATGAATTCTTTGTTTCATCTTCTTCTCTGAATCAGCACATTCTGACAATAGGTTTTGCTTTGGAGACCGGTCAGGTTTTCCAGAGACTAGGCAAAAGGCAGCTTTCAGAAAAAGGAAGAAAGTATTGAACCAGAAATTAGAATGTCTTTTAGGGTTTCGGTGTCCTCACTGGTGAAAAGAAGAGGTTGGATTACGTCTTTTTTTTTTTTTCTTTTAAACAACCTCCTCTCTGCCTCTTACTAGGCTGTTGCACATCTTCTGTGATGAGTTCTCCCATCACACACTATTCACAGCGGGGGAGGCAAGGCACAGCTGGTGGGCCGTATGGAGCTTGAGAAGCACCCTTCCCCCCAGGTCTCTGATCTGACCCCAAAGGAGCCACCCATAAGTGTGATGCTTAAGTTAGATGATTTCTGAGGTCTTTTCTAATTGTTAAGATTTTTATCATTCTTCTGTATCAGAGGCTGTCTCTTACCATCCTTAATAAAAAACAGTGTCTTCAGAATGTGACTCAGCCCATTGTAAATACTGAGCGAACAAATGAGTGAAACACACCAGAAACTGATTCATTTCAGTGCTTGTTATATTCTGCACACCATGCTTAAGTGCTTAATGTAGATTATCTCGTTTAATCCTCACACAATGCCGGACAGATATTTCTACCCCCATTGGATAAATGGGGGGACTAAATAACTTCCCCCACATCAGTTACCTGGTAAATTACAAAGCTGAGCTTCAAACCCAGATTAGTTCCACTCTGAAGCCCAGTTTGTATTATGTTGCTGTATTTTAAATTAATTTGTATTCTAGCAATGTCATCTTTCAAAGGATACCTTTGGTTGGAAAAATCAAGGCTGTTTCTTTGCTGCTATCATTTTTTTAAACTGAGATTATAAATTAAAACCATTTGAAAAACTTGTAGACCATGTGTTTAAGGTTTAAGATGACAGACCTACATCTAGTGCCCTTGAAAATAAAGTTGTCAACTTAATATTTGAGATTTCTTTTATATCCAAAATGTTAATAAAATTTTTTTATAGTATTTGTGTGCATTTCCAAGAAGTATGCAAATAACTTATTGGTCTCTTTAGGAGACACTTAGAATCCAACACCGACTTTGTACTATTAGTATATGAAAGAGATTGGCTTTTTGGTAGCCACTTCAGCTACTATAGATGGACATTTGAGTTGTTTGCAGTTTGGAGCTATTACGAATAGCATTGCTATGAATATTCTTATATATATCTTTGTTGCATATATGTATGCATTTCTATGGGGTATGTGTCTGGAAGTGGAATTGCTGAGTCATAACATATTTATAGTTAATACTGTACTATCAAATCATTGTTCAACGGTGTATCAGTTTGTGCTCCATCAGCAGTGCATGAGAATTTGAGTTCTATTCTGGCTCTATATCCTTGTCAACACTTCGTATTAATAGTAATCTTTTTCCTTTTAGCCATCTAGATGGATGCATAGTGGCATTGCAATTTTGGCTTTAATTTGTATTTCCCGGGCCTGGGTGGCTCAGTTGGTTAAGCATCTGCCTTCTGCTCAGGTCATGATCCTGGAGTCCCAGGATCGAGTCCCGCATTGGGCTCCCTGCTCAGCGGGGAGTCTGCTTTTCCCTCTGCCCCTCACCCCACTCTCGTGCTCTCTCTCAAATAAATCAATCAATAAATAAAATCTTTAAAAAAAACTTTGTATTTCCCTAATGACTAGTGAAGATGAATTCCTTTTGATTTGTTTATTGACCATTGGAGGTACACTTTGGTTATGTGCCCAGGTCTTTAACGTTTTTTCTATTGGATTTTCTGCCTTTTTCTGATTGATTTGTAGAGCTCTTTATATATTCAGGATAGGAGTCCTTTGTTGCTCATGTACATTTGCAAGTATCTTCTCCCCCTCAGGCTTGCTTTTTCAGTCTCTTAATGATGTTTTTTGATGAACGTAAATTCTTAATTTTTGTGTATGAAATCTGCCAACCCACAGGTATTCTCCTTTGTTCTCTTCTGAAAACTTTATGATTTTACCTTACACATTTAGAACTATGATCCATCTGGAATTGATTTTTGTGTATGGTATGAGTTAGACACAAAGATTCTTTTTTTTGATATGGCCATCCAGTTGATCCAGCACCAGTGTGCTTCATTGTATACATAGATTTTTATATTATTGAATTTTTATGATTACTTTGGAGGTTATTAGTGCCATATCAAATCAACACCATTTGGGGTAGTAATTTAGTTTCCTTCAGCTGCCAGAATAAATTAGTACAACCTTATTGTCTTAAAACAACAGAAACGTATTCTCTCCCAGTTCTGGAAGCTAGAAGGCCCAAATTAAAGTGTTGGCAGGGCAGATGGATTCCTTCTGAGGGAGAGTCTCTTCTTGCATCTCTCCTAGCTTCGGGTGGTTGCCAGCAGTACTGAGCATTCCTTAGCTTGTAGATGCACAACTACAATTTCTGTCTCTGTCTTGACATAACATTCTCTCTTTGTTTCTGTGTCCAAATTTCCCTGTTCTTATGTAGGCACCAGTCAGTAGATTTGGGCCCGCCATAATTCAGTAGGACTTTATCTTAAATCGATTACATCTACAAAAACCTATTCCCAAATAAGTTTACATTCACAGATTCTAAGCAGACATGAATGTTGGGGGGACACTGTTCAACCTAGTATAGGTAGCAATAAATAACTTTAGTACATATCACTCATTTTTTTTCTTTCTTTTTTTTTTTTTTACTATTGAAGGATCATGCTGGTAGTGAATATACTTTAAGAGTTAGCAGAATGTTCTTGAAGCTGCCCAGCTAATTAAATTTCATGGTGGCAGAAGCCATTCTTCCCCCTGCCTCTCTAATAACTCTTTTGAGAGCCTAGTGTCAGAAAGCCCTTGATACTTACCTCAGGCAGTCTCTATGCTGTGAACACAGATGCTAAATTCAATCTAAGGAGTTAGATCTTCTGAATATTTTCTTTCTTTGACACTCGAGTAACTCTGCGTCATCATCCTAGATGATGATTTCCAGTTTGCTGGGCAGGCATGTATTTATTAAGAACATACGTCAGGCTGGGGCCCAGGGGACGGATGCTTAGAGGACAAGGGCAGGCTTAGTGTGTGTTTGTGAGCCTATGGGCCCTTGTATTGCTGGAGATTTTTCGTACACTTGATTGTTAGTTAAAAGTCAGGTTAGCTTTAGGTCATCAAGAGGGAGAAACGGTCTCTAAAATTCGGAGGGCGTTCTGGTACCATCAAAGCTCTCAAAATATAAAATCTGATACTATAGTTAGAGATGGAACAGCAGACATTTCTGAGTCCTTGGATGCAATCTTCAAATAGTATTTGTGATTAAGACTGGTATCTAATTAATTTTTTATGTTGTTGTCACCAGAGCATTATGGACATATACTGGTCATTTTGTTATCTAGGCTGCACATACCTATATAACACATACATCTATATCCCATTTTGTGATGTATGCTGTGGTGTTGCGGGGTGGATAGGGTCTGGAGGCACTTTTGAATTTTGTCAAATCGTTCACATCTGATGTTAACATCTAATCCCAACATCTGATCCCAGCCATATTCCTGTTTCATCACTTGCAAGTCTGTCATTCTTTTACATATGAGGGATTGGTGGGGTAAACGTTTTGCAATAAAAGCTGACACTTCACTTTTAAGAAGCTGAGTTGACCCAAGAAAGAACTCCCTGGGCATATCAGTGTAAAATTAAAGCAGTAAATCAAAATGTAATACATAATGTAAGTGCCACCATCTTTCCTGTCTGTTTTATTTTAAGAATCATTTTGTGTAACTGTTCTTGCATTTTATTGCGTACCCAGTGTTTGTAGCTTGTATAACCTCTCCATTTATTTTCTCTCCCCACTTGCCATTTTCATTTTATGAAATCAGAGGATTGGATTCTATTGTTTAATGAGTTTAAATTAAAAAAAAAAATTTAGAACCATGGAAAAACAGGTTCTCTGTTTGAAGCACTTGCTTCAATAAAGAAGCACTTGTTATATGATTTATTAATATTAAAAATATAACCTGGATTACTTATAAAAATGATAAAGTGGGAATTTTCTAAAAACAGAATTATTTTTAAAATAAAGCCTTTTGCTCTGTTACATTATCATTTGAAATATATGTAAAATCAACTCCTTGGGGATTTCATCTTAAATATTTGGTACCAGAAATGACTTAGTAAAACTGCACCCTGTAACTTCAGCGGAGTAACTGCTCAGGAACTAACTAGCCTTAGCACCTTCAAGTGTCAGGCTTCCCTCGCTTCCAGTACTTTAACGGGCCATTTTTTTTTTCCCTACTTGTGTCCATGTGTTTTAGTCAACTCTCACTGACATTTTTCTCCACTGAGTTTTTTTTTTTTTTAGTAGTATCTCAAGCATGTAACTTTCTTTCCTCTCATTCTTCTTTTGTTTCTACTTGACAGTTATGAGTAGCTTTGAATTTTCTTTTATCCCGTGTTCATTTGGGATGGTTCGCTATCATGCCACTGAGAATGTCAGGCCAGTGGCAGACAGCGCATCCAGTGCAGCCGTGTGTATCCGTAGGATCCCCTGCGTTGCTTTTATGTCCCTTGGCTTATCAGTCCGCGTGGCAAGTATTTTTCCACTTCACGTCCTCTCAATAACTCGCAGGCTTTGTTACGCATTCCACAAGGTGTCTGTTCTCTATTCCACTGCTTTTGAAGCAAACAAAAGCGAGTTGACATGTTATCACAAACTCTGAGTCCTTCTCTTGCACAGATTCCTTTTTTTCTTTCTCATAGCTCCACAGGAGACTGACTTAGAGAAGGGCTGTTGAGAAAATGGCGTCAGCAGTTTAAAACGCTCCAACTAGGGTTCATTTCAGGTATTGACAGTGGTGCTCTGGAAGAACAAGATGCTCTGTAAAGAACTTGAACTAATTTTCTGGGGCATAGGAGTGTTACAAACCAATGAATCCAGCATATGGGTATTCACTGTACTCCTCTTGTTGCTTTACTACAGGTCTGAAAATTTTTTAAATATATAGTTGAGGGTGGGGAAATAACTATAAACAACTCTTCTTGCCTGCACGCCCCATTTTCTCGCTAATTCGATTGGATTAACTTGTTAGATCATCACGCTAGTTGATATTTTAAGTATGCCTTTAATATTGCATTCAGAAACATTAAAACATTACCTGTCGGTAAAGAAGTATATTCTTCTCCCATGGTTTTATGGATTTATGGAGTCTAAAGTCATGAGGTCAGAAAGTCCCAACTCGCTTCTGGCAGTGGCAATAGGTGATACTTTTTGGCAGGAAAATATCTTCTCACCGAGTACACACAGAAGACAGGTTCACTCCTGCAGTGCAGTCATCAGTTCTTTCTGTGTCATGTAACTAAGAGACACCCCCCCTCCACCCCCGGCAATAGCAGCCGGTGTGTAGTCTTTGTTACTGAATGGTTTCACCCAGCTGTACGTGGGCTTCCTCTGTCAGTCGATATTTATTGAGAAATACCGAGGCCCTCCTATTTTCTCCTTGGGTAAACGTTGGGGGAAAAAGATCTAGCCATCCTGAGTTTTCTGTGATTGTCCTGATTATTGTTAACAATTTGTCTCTGTAGACCAGGGTATCTAAATTACTTCGAAGCCAAATCCGGCAGCAGACTTGGACTGATGAAGGCTCCCCGTGTGCCCGGGAGCTTCGGTCAGTCTTGCTGGAGTTTGCTTGCGTCCACGGCCTCGAGAACTGCAGTGCCACAGCCATGACGCTGTTTGATGACTGGGTGGCCTCCAACGGAACTCAAAGGTGACGTGCGCTTCTGCTCAAATGAGCTCTCTGCCTCTTCCTTACCTTGATACCATATACTGAAAACAGGATCTTTTCATCCTGAGTGTTAACGTAGGTGATGTGTGTACTTGTATTGTCAAACAAGACAGTTTTTTCGAATTGTAGTAAAATATATACAACATAAAGTTTATTATCTTAACGTGTTTTAAGTGTACAGTTCAGTAGTGTAAGTATATTCACATTGTTGAGCAACGAATCTCCAGAACTTTTTATCTTGCAAAACTAGAACTCCTTACCCAGACAACTCTCCGTTTTCTCCAGTCTCCAGCCCCTGGCAGCCACTGTTCTGTTTTCTGCTCTGAATACCTTATGTGAGTGAAATGTACAGTATTTGTCTTTTTCTGACTGACTTGTTTCACATGTCCTCAAGGTTCATCCATGTTGTAGCATGTGTTAGAATGTCCTTCCTCTTTAAGGCTGAATATATTCGTTGTGTGTATACACCGTATTTTGTTTATTGCTTCATCCACTGATAGACATTTGAGTTGCTTCCACCTTTTGGCTTTTACAAATAATGCTGCTGTGAACATAGGTATACAAATACCTCTTCAAGACTCTGCTTCCGATTCTTTCAGATCTATACCTAGAAGTGATATTGCTACATCATATGGTAGATCTATTTTTAATTTTTTAAGGTACCGCCATATTGTTTTCCATAGTGGTAGCACCATTTTACATTCCCACCAGTAGGGCAGAGGAGTTCCAGTTTTGTTGCATCCTCACCAAGGCTTGTTGTTTTCTGCTTTTTTATAGCAGCCATCGGAATGGATGAGAGCTGTCAAACAAGTCTCTTGTAATTTAGGGCTATAACATAGCAGGTAGAGTTAGCAGTTAGACATTTATTTTTATTTTTATTTATTTATTTGACAGAGAGACACAGCAAGAGAGGGAACACAAGCAGGGGGAGTGGGAGAGGGAGAAGCAGGCTTCCTGCAGAGCAGGGA